ATTATTTACGTTTATTCTCTGTGTCAGGACTTCTCCTAATCATTCCATCTATGATCAATTATGTGTTAAAATGAGTTAAAAACTTCGGGAAGCCTTCATTTGAGCTCTTTCCCTTATCTCTCTTTCTTCTATACATACATGCCTACTCTCTAACTTAACTGAAAAAGGCTGGTGCTTTCTTTTGAACATGCGCGTACACTCCCTCAACTAAATAGACTTGCTTCAGCCATACCTTTTGCTTTGCTTGCGTGTACTCGCAAAAATCAACTATACGATAACTTTACAAACACGTTTGGTATCGGTAAATTTTCATTTACATTGTGTTGCAACAAGAAGAGAATAAATGAATTATTCATTAAATTTGTTTGTTTGTTTGAAGTTAAGCACAAAGCTACACAAAGGGCTATCTGTGCTCTGCCCATCACGGGTATCGAAACCCGGTTTCTAACGTTGTAAGTCCGCAGGCATACCGCTGTGCCACTGGGAGGGGGGGCTATTCATCAAATTGAACAATAATAAAGTCAGAACACTCTGAAAACGACACTAGACCACACATCAGAAATCAGAGCACCAAAAGGTAGAGAATTGTGTTTTGGAAACTTCAAATGTCATGCAAAGCACATGCAAGAATCAGTAGCAATGTACTTGGTTTTGCTCTGGTTAAAATAGCTTTAGTAAATTTTTATTTTTTTCGTGCATTGTTATTTTTATTGATTTCAAACAATTTTTTTCGATTTTTTTTTTTGCAAAAAGTCACGATTAATATGGTTGATTTGAACAAAACAACTCAGGATATTTAAAGCCATTTTCACCCGAGCACCACTGGATACTCTGCTAGTATATATATATACACCATACAATATAGTGAATATTGTCATAATTTCACATGATCTTATTGTTTAATAGTTTTTCATCTCTGACGTTATATTTATCCAATTCTAAGAACTTATGAATGAAAGTAAATAATATATACATTATGTCAACCACACTATGTCGTCTATACCCAATGCCTTTCGCCAAATACCAGGGCTTATCAAATCGGACGGGATACGACCGACACAGAGTGGTTGAGACGCTATTTATATTATCAAACTGCATGACAACAACTGTTATGGTGTGAACTAGGTTAAGTTGATAATGGCCAAATATTTTATTTAATAGCACTCACAGCAAATGGCATGGTTAAAAGTACTGGCATGAAGCAAAGCCAAGGAACTAAAATATAATATGGAAAACCAGAACAAATAAAGCAGTATATTGCCTGATGAAAAATGTCAATGACGCCCTATTTATTAGCTTTTTATTTTAAGTAAAGAGGTTTTGAATTTTCTGTTTTATTCCTTGCTACCGCAGTGGAAGGAGGTATGTTTTGACGTACATATTTCTGTTTATCATTGTAAAGAGTTCACATTTTTTCACATATTTGAGGTTACCTATAGTTTAACATTTTAAATACAAATTTTGATAAATTGTTGTAAATCCAAATTAACGAATGTAACACGTAGTTTATTCTTCTTTTGCATTATACAATAATCGGATTAGTGGTAGAGGAATAGTTCACTTATATATACACTGTTACGTACTAGAATTTCAAATAATCCGAAGCCGAGTTAACTGATAATTTAGATTTAGTAGGTAAATTGTACTTTGGGTTTAGTATTTAAATATATGCCGATATATTAATCAATTTACGATATTTGCCAACAGATTGATACACGCCGTCTTCGTTTTTAACACATATACGTTTTAATATACACACAACAATACAATTCACAATAACGGTTAGTACAAATAGTTATTACAAACAAAGATTTATAAACAAAATTTTCACAAACTTACAAACAATATAAAATTTTCTTTCTAGTTTGGAACTCCCTTGATATCTTATCGAGGGTTTATGATGAGCGAGTTAATTACGAGTTGATGTGAGTACAATTCGCCAGGAAGCTAGCTAGCTTTGTCCTTGGGCACACATGCTAG